TCGGGCAGAAGCCCATCTACCAGCCAGTCGCCCTTTGCCGTCGGCTCTTTGGCGACCTCCCAGTTGGCTCGGATCCACACGGGGTCCTCCATCTTGGACCTGCGCTTCAGCGACACCTGGCAGGGCAAAAAAGGAAGCCATCAACCGCTCAGACTAATAACACCCAAGAATCATACCCTATAATGGTACCCTATAACTCTACCCCATAAGAATACCCTATAAGAATGTAGTACGCAAAAAACCTGCTTTTGGTTTGGGGGTTTCCCAGCTGCTTCGCAACCCGAGAGGCTGCACCTTGGAGGGGCCCTTGCTGTCCTCCTTGCGGGGCTCCTCTGATGGGGAGGGCTCGACTTTTTTCTGCTTCCTACGGCAATCCTGTAGCTGCTCCAAGAAGTTTAGCCTAGTCCAAAAAGCCACGAGGTGCCAAGCCTGAAGGTGAAGCGTGATGTCTTGTGTTTTATTCGGAAAAGGTGAACTCAGGAATGCGCCGTCACTACCTACCTCGTAAAACAATCACTGCCTGTGACTGCCTACCCCAGGCTACGAATTGCACGGTGTCGCGCAACCGCGACACCCATGAGTCGTTGAAAGTAGAACGGTGCCGAATAAAACAAGGAGAATGCATGCGCACACTAATCTTAGCCGATAGGCAGGCACTCGAACCCCCCCCCCCCCATGCGGAGGCCGCCTCCGCCCGAGAAGACTAAAACCTCCAGAAGGCCATCCTAGTACTAGACCCGAAACCCTGAACCCACCCTAAGCCGTAAACCCTAGACCCGAAACCTCAAAACCCTAATGCCTGAACCCACCCTGAACCAGGAACCTTCAACCCTGAAAGCCAAACTTCTCCTGGAGAGTCTTTCGCTGCTTTGCTGCAAGCTTCGGCCGCTTTGCGGCCGGCTCGGCCGACGAGGTTTCCTGGTTTCACGATTAGCGTCCATCACGCGTTTGGGGTTTAGTGCTTGGGGTCTAGGGTTAAGAATATAAGCTTGAGGCTACGATATAGGCTTCAGGGTGCGGTGTTTAAGCTTTATCGGCCTGGGGAACGTCACTGCACTCTCAAAACGGAGCTACATGTGTGTGTATAAAACAAATATATATATATATATATATATATGCTCGCCCCTCCCCCCCAAGATCCACGCATTCGTGGTTCATGTGGCATGGGGTGCACGAAACAGTGTAATGCTCAAAAAAATCCAAAATTTCTAATCCGCAACCTCACGACACCCTGTAGTGCAAAATATTCCAAAATTCCAAAAATTCTGGCATCTATGTCCAGGCCAGGACCAGATTCCCGAAAAAAACTGGAATTTTTTGAGCATTACAGTGTTTCGTGAGTTTGAGGGTTGGCAGTTTGGGAATTTTTTGAGCAGCGCAGTGTTTTGTGAAGTTAAGGCCGCGAAACACAGTAATGCTCAAATTTCGTGAGTTTTGAGGGCTGGAATTGTTGGATTTTTTGAGCTTGCAGTGCTTTGTGGCCTCAACCTCACAACACACTGTAATGCTCAAAAAATTCCAAACCTACATGATATTTTCAATCCTAAAACTCACGAAACACCGTCATGTTCAAAAAATTCAAAAACTCCCAAACTTTGATATCTATGGCCAGGGCGGGGTGCAAAATCTCTCAATTTTTGGAATGTTTTGAGCATTGCAATGTTTTGTGAGGTTGAGGCCACGAAACACTGCAATGCTCAAAAAGTCCCAACATTTCCAGCTCTCAAAACTCACGAAATTTCAGCATTACAGTGTTTCGTGGCCTTAACTTCACAAAACACTGTAATGCTCAAAAACTTCAATAACTGCCAACCCCAAAACTCACGAACCACTGTAATGCTCAAAAGATTCCAAAAATTCCAGTTTTTTTCGGGAATCTGGTCCTGGCCAGGACATAGATGCCAGAATTTTGGAACTTTTGGAACTTTTTTGAGCATTACAGGGTTTCGTGGGGTTGGGTGCATTTAGATGTTGTCTTGTTATCTCCTTCTGAATGAAATAAGCGGCTGTGTAAAACCATTAGCACTTAACTGCTACGCCGTGAATGGTGTTCTGTCTCTTTGTGCTGCTTCTCGCTACTCTAGTAGCACATGTATCGCAAAAGCTGTTTAACAGCGAAGCTGTATCGAATGGACAGTAACTGGATGAGACGTGAGACAAACCGCACAGGAAAACATATTTAGCGGCTGTGGCCAACGCCTGTGCGCATGCAGTTCTGCAGACAAACACACACACACCGGTGGTCTAAAACACCCCAAACAGGTAGGTACATCCGGAGGGGTGCAGCGTACATATATATATATATATAAATACATACAATATACATATATATATATATATACATATATATATATATATATTCATACATATGCATGTATTGGCGTGAGTCCTGGAGTCTCATGGAGGGCTTCTGCAGGTTGGGAGTTCTTGTTCTGGGAGGGGCAAAGGCGGGTCCCCGGCTTTGGCTGATCAAAACTTTTGTGGGTTACGGCAATTAGCATGACCGTGGGTTCCGTTCCACTCGAAATATAAATCCTTTCAAAGCAAAGGCCTTCTAACCAAAGCCCTTAAAGAACCCATTCAAAAATTGCGGAGGTGCCTCGTCAGATGATTCCACATGCCCATGCCGAGCAGTGGCCAGCGCATGCCTCACATCCTTGAGGGTTTCGAGCGTGCGGTTTCGGATGTAGCTTAGGGTTTATGGGGCTTTGCGTTGAGGGTTTGTCGTGGGCGGGGGTTGTTAGAGGCTAAATGTGCTTTTCGCACCCATTGCCTCAATCGTGAGGACTCTCTCGGCAGCCTTGCCGACCATTGCTCACGGGGAGAGGACCCCTGCCCCCCGCCCCTTCCATTCCTTGGGCCCCAGGCCGGTCAGCGCATATCGAATCTCCAGGGTTTTAGTCTTGGCTTTGTAACAGTTGCCCGGGATCCGG